TCATTTATGCTAAAACAGCGCATGAAACCGAATACCGAGCGGCTTTATGTGTACAAATATCGGATTTGAATATTCCGCCGTGTGTCACATTTCCAAAAGTTCATCCGGCATTTAAAGATTATGAATGTGTTTTAATTGAACCACTTCAACGAACATTGAAAGTAGATGAAGAAATTCAATTGCAAATGATTGTACCAAATGCGAAAAAGATTCAAATTCAAAATGGAGATGAAATTCTACATTTGAATGGAGATGATTATCGAAATGGTTTGATTAGAAAGACAATCCAAATACAAGGAAAGTTGGATGTTTATGGACAATGGAACAGAGGCGAAGATTTACCGCTGTGTTCTTTCACAAATTAATAAACAAAGCTTTTTTTCATCTTTTATATAAAACAATCGTGTTTATTGAAAATTTCAGAGTCGAGATTAAAATAATAAAATATGAGTTTAAGAGATTATCGTATTCGAACCATTATTTCACGACATTCAGTAATACAACGTAATCCCAAACAAGGATCACAACACAATCGTTGAACACAACAGCATACTGGAACACAGATAGGTGGTGGTGGTAGACAACAAGGATTGATCATTTTTGAACCAAAGATATTTCGAATTGAGTGTAGAAAGTCGATCGAATGAATAATATCGAGCTATAAAAGAACAGCTTATAAACATATGTTTATCAAACAACGAAGATTCATTGAAGCGTTGAAATGGTCATGTTTTCTATTGTACTTATTACGTATCATATGTAATCGTCACCAGCAATAATGACGTGGAAATTTCGTCGAAATCTATTTCGTCAATCGAACCAAAATTGTGAAATCACAACATTGAAAATTTCAAATATGTTCACGGAGAAAGGTATTCGATGAATAATAGTTTATCTCGAAGGCATATCTTTGTCTTTCTCGTGCAATAGATCTAATTGAGATCAAACAGTGTCTTCGTCAATATAATTATGCCAATCTGTTATCATTTAACTTTATTCAAGCCTTGATAGAAACAACCATCACATACGGTTCCAGCAACACTCTAAAAAACACTGAAGCTAGAGCCTTTTCATGAAATTTTCTCAGTTCAGATTGTTTTTCTTTGTATTTCCACTGAAAAATTGCAACAAGAATCGCTGAAATATCAGTTTGTATTGATTTTGGATTGGCACTTTCCCGCAGTATTCCTTCCATGAAGTCCACATGGGAGTGCACGTTGACATAAGTTCGAATTCATTGGTTATTTTCTTCTTTCTGCAACAAACGATATCTCTAAAATCATCGTGATTTAAGTTTATTCATAACTGAACGAGAAAAAACACCCGAAATGAAAGAAAAGGAATACTAAGTTCACGAATTGCCATTATTTGTCATTGAACACTACTCGTCGGTTTTACTTATTATCGGTGATCTTTACTACAAATCACTTCTATTCATTGAGGAGAAACTTTTATTGTTTCCGGTCGATAACATCGAATAAGATGTCGACATTTTTCTTGGAGTTCAGGCAATGAAACAATCGATACAAACGGATAAAATACGATGATAAAGTAATACAAATACACACTACTCGAAAACTGTGTATAAGATTATTAATATCCAACATAGAACAGAATAAAGTGCACATATTGACAACAATTGAAATGTCATTTTTTTCCATTGAAAGTGTTGAATCATGCGATGTTTAACATACTAAGAATATTAATTACAAAGTTTGGTGTAATATTATTTGCCTAACTGTCCCATATCGTTATTTTTGAATCATTAGATACACAGAAAGCAATTCTGCGCTGATCTTCGTCATAATCTAATGGAATATCACGAGATAAAATGAATAATTCAGTAAAGTAAGAAATTAGTGGATAAACACTGGAGATAATCGATAGAAAATAATGAAAAGCAAATCATTTCAATATTGATGAATAGCAATTGTTTTCAGAATTTACACAAATACCGATCACGAACATCTAAATCTGATATTTTATTCTCATAGTACGACTATAATAATACACAGTCTCTCACGCATGCCATTCTCTTTCAAATACACTGAATTTTGTTTTTCGTATACTAACAATATTCAGATGTGAAGGACACACATTAAATTGTTTATTACTCCATCGATAATAATTATTGAACAGTACCTGTTCCTTTAACACATTGTCGATCTTCTTCTCTGTGCATTTTAATTGTTGCAGGAACAATTCTATGTCTTTCTCGTCGAGTAAATCGAGTGAGATATCGAAGTTTTCCTTGAAGTTCAGGTGATGAAATAATGGATGCAAAAGGAGTCAGTAACATTATGAAATAGGTAAAATAAAACGAGTTTAAAAAGTAATCGAAACCTATGTCATTTGGTAGACCGAATGTATAAGCCATATACAGAATGGATGATGGCCAACAAAGGAAAAAATAAAGAACAGATATTGACAATAATTGAAATGCCATCTTTCGATAATTTCGCCACTGAAATTGTCGACCCATTTGATATTTGCTGTACCACACACGAACCATCAGAGCAATACTAAAGATGACGATAGTAAATATTGGTACAATATTATTCGCCCAACTGTCCCATATACTTAAGATGGGATGGGTAGCTGTACAGAAGGCGAATGAACATGTTTCTGCATTATAATCGAATGGAATATCACAAGGTAAAATGAAAAAGACAACGAAAAAGAATATTAATGGATAAATACTGAAGATAATCAATGGTAAATAATGAAAAACAAAGCGTTTTAATTGTGTTGAGATGAGATTTTGATGAANAAATGAAAAAGACAACGAAAAAGAATATTAATGGATAAATACTGAAGATAATCAATGGTAAATAATGAAAAACAAAGCGTTTTAATTGTGTTGAGATGAGATTTTGATGAAAAATAAGAATATGACGTTCAACTGCTGCCCATGCTGTTAGATCTACTATTGAAACAAATCCAGCTATATCTACATATGCCCATATTTGACAGAATATCGGTGTTGAAGCTAATGATGAATTGGTTTGGTAAAAATGAGTATACCAAATGATATCAGTGAGCATATAGACGAGACCAAAAGAAAGAAGAACTGTAATCACATGATTGTGCAACTTTTGACGGTATGTTCGATGAAAAAGAAAATAATAAAGATTAAATATGCTACACGAGATGGATGGAATCAGAAATGTTAGGAAAAGCCAAAATTTGATTATATAAGGAATTGACATATTGATGTTTGAAGATATGTTTCAGCTAAGCAAGAATATAAACATCTGTCTCACATGAAAACTCGTCAATAAGGAAACGCCACAAGATTCAAATATCCATATAGAGAGATAATACGTGCATTTTGTCTTTGTTATTTTGATAAAAATAACTTCAGTGACTATAAAACAAATATGATGAGAAGCGTTTGTTCTTCTTCTTTTCATTCGGAAAATTAAAAAAGCATGATTATCATCTTATATGAATTGATGCCTTAAGAAAATTATGAAGATTATTCGAACAAAAGTCAATTTGCTACTTTATGTAAGTGCGATTGCTTCATTAAATACTTCGAAATCTTTCAAAAAAGTGTCAGCAAAGTTGAAAATAGTTTTGAGATGGATGCATTATACTCGAAGTATGTCGAATGAAACTAAAAAATACGTAATAAGCATATTTTATCGCTTAAATATCGTATGAATAACTCGAGGGTGTGCAATTAATCACTAATTATATGTAAGGGCGAAGGGAGTGGGTATCATTCCGGAATTAGTAGAAATTCTGCGGAATTGTGTGTATCGATTCCAGAATTGCTTCGGGTTAATTCTGGAATCGGAGGAACTGATTCCCAAATGTGCAACATTGCGGAGTAGGATGTATTCTCATATTTAGCAGTTTGTTCCATATGATTGAAATGCAATAAGCTCACTGACCGAATATTTTATATAAAAAACAGCTTTGGTAATTATCTACGTATGTTGTTTCTATGTAAGTTAATGGAAAACTTCATCTTTTGTAATGAGGATTTGGTGAAGACATGATTGTGTTCACTTTCAGTGAACATCATCCAAAACCCAAATGATTACTTCACCTAATACAATATAGGATATATTTCATATGTAGGATTCCGGTAATATCAATAAACATTTGTATGAAAATATGCGCTGAATTTACCATTATGATATACAGTTTTCGTACAATATATTTTTTCATCAGTTGTGTATTTCACGGTGATTTCTCGTTTGGTGTTGATGTTCGATTATTTTACTCCAACTGCGTGTAGAATAACGAGCTATTTTACGAATATAATTTGGTTTTAGTAAGAAGAAAAACAAGATTATCGTGCGAAAAACTGTCCATTGGTGTGGAGATATAATGATATGATCAAACATTCTTTTGTTTGAATAACATCAAGAGAATAGACATGCTCTCTGCAAGATGAAAGAATATTTGTTCTTAAAATAATTTAAAAAAAAGATTCTTTTTTTAATGCGATAATGTGAAACAAGCCTTTGATTCTATTTGTCGTTTAATCTCTGGAATACGACTCTATCTCTTCATCAAGATCTTCAGTTTTTGAACGAATCTATATTCTATTCTGACTTATGAAAGACGCTGCTATTTATTCTCCCGCATGAACTTCTCCTATTCCATTTGAATGAACTATGTCATCATCATTGATATCTGCAACGACATTTTATTTTAATATTTATTCTGATACGAGAAAATTGTACAAAAACTCCAAACAAAAAGCGTTATCGTTGTGCAGGATGTATCAAAGAAAAAACATATATAAATTACCGTCCTCCAGGGATTCTTTTCTCCGAAAATTCTCCCTTAGTACTCAGTGTAATGTCCATAGAGCATCCAATTAAAGACATTTCAATCTTGATGATGATGATGTTTCATCTGTGAAACCGACTAAAATCGGCCAATCCTATTTCTCAAATCTTTTTTAATTTCTTCTCGATCTTCACCTTGTCCAACACGATGTGACATTTCACAAAGAGCGCATTCTAAAGTAGAATTACTTATTCGTGAATTATAATCAATTATATGTTGAAATCTCTCTGCTACAGGTTCTTTTCTCCATTGATGATAACTTTCATACAAAGTTTTGTTCTTTGCAACATTTTTGACAAATGTTGCCGCATCTTCCGGTGATTTAAATTGTCGTAAATCAATAATGCAATTTGTTCGACATGGTAACCAATCATAAACATTTGGAGCTCCAAGATAAATAGGTACACTTCCGATCGTCAATGGTTGCCATAGTTTCTCCGATATGTAATCAGAAGTTAAACTGTTCTCGATGGCTATAGTAAATAGATATTCTTTTGATAAAGCTAATTTTCCTGCTTCCCAGTCATAAGTGGCGATATTTTTCAGAATTCGATTGGAAGAACCTTGAATTTTGACAATATGTTCTGGTAATTGACGAATATTTTTTCCGCAAGTGCCGTAGTTATCGACAGCGATGTATTTCATTAATTTATTCATGTATGGGGTACGTCCGGACTTTGCTCTACAGTTGCTGTTCATCCAGAGAATAGGTGCTTTGATATATGATGAATTATTTGTGGCATTGTCAATAAAAAATTTCTGAAAATCGTCAAATATCGTTTTTCAAAATAGAATTTGAATTACTTTCAATAGAAACAAGATAAAAACGCATAAGATGGTTTCTCTTTTAACTCTTTTATGTAAATTGATGACAAAAACAACACTTTTCCCGTCAAAGTCATGTTAGTAGTTTTTTTATTTTCGTGAGTATTTCAAAACAAAGAGATGAAGAATGGAAAAAGTATATGAAGAGCTCATTTATGATTGTTACTCTAATCATTAAAACAAAGCCTAACATCGCTAATTTACTTCCAGAAAATACGATCATTTGTCTTTTATTTCGAAATCGATATGGGACGACTTTTTCTGATTTGAACATACCTTTGAAAGATTTGGCCAATAAATATCCGATGTTGAAGTTGAATAAATTGGTTTTTTGCTGTTCATTACTTCGTTTACTGTTAATCGTTTCGATGTAAACTTCAATTGGTCGATATAGAGAAATAGATGAGAAGGTGCAATAAAATCATGAATCGATCGATCATATCCATACGTTATATCAAATAATTTCAATTTGTTTTCATCGCCAACCCAAGGATAATAAATAATCGATTCATATTTGAAGAAAAAGCCCCAAATACTCGAACAACTTCGATAGTAATTGTGTAATAAATTAACATAAACGTTATCTCGAAATGGTGAAAAGGGATCAGCGATAAGCGATGGATACGAATATCGTGAGAAATTTTTAGTGAATAAATCAAATGAAAAACCACGTTTACATTCATAATAAGACTGAATTTGTCCATGCGGATTACGACATTTGATATTCTCTAATGTTTCAGCTGTTGAATATACCAAATGACATGGCAAACGAGTACAATCATCAATAGCATATAATTGACAAATAGTTCTACTGAGGAATTGTAAGTCTTCTGGGACATCACACCATATCGATTCATTTTTCTTGGATAATTTGCGTTCTTCTTGCATAATTTCTTGCCATTTAAATAAATCAAAGATATATCTCATTTGCTGACGAGTCTCTTCAGATTTCATCGATGTACATAAAGTATGAATATCAATAGAGGAACGACTATAAATTAGAATTACATTTGAGAATGCCAGAATAAGAAAACATCTGAGAGTGAAGAGCAATTTTATTGTTTTTCTTCTAAAAAATACCATTATCTACACGTCCGCTGGTCTAAAACAACGCATTAGTTGCTGAATGAATATTGGAGACAGTATATTGTTAATATATGCCAACATATGTGTTAGAAAGCGCACGAAATACACAATTCCGCCTTCCCCTTTCGAGTATCGTTCGTTTTCTTGTAAATAACAGTCCAAACTACAATTGAGCCATACATTTATTCATGCAATTTCAAAGAAAATGCGTGTTAAATACTACTTTATTCAATTTCTACGCCTTTTTGGCCCACGATACAAAAAGGAAGTACAACATGTACTTGACAATGAAAGAAACATATATATATATATATATATTCGTTTTTAATATGTGCGATAATATCAGAGGACGATTGATTCATTTTTCACCCAATAACCATAAGACCTACGTAGTGAAAATTTCCCAGAGAGCTTCCGTGTGTCATTTATATATTGCTTTTTAATTTAACAATCGATTTTACTTCATACTACTTCGACTAGACTATTAGTAAAAGTTGATATGCATTGCGACGGATAGTTTCCATTTTCAAACGACATGGATGAATAAGCACATGTCTGTTTTAGTAATGATAAACAGAGCCTTCCTACCTGAGCTATATGAATGTCTATATGAATCCTCTCATTTACCAAATTTATCAATGCCTCGTGTTCGTTTAATTACTTTGATTTTGTTTTCTTTGCTTGCATACAACATTGGTTTTTTCATATCACGTTCTTTTTTCCGTACTGATCCAAATCTTCCTTCATCAGACATAAGAAATAATGATGATGATCAACGTGCAACGATAGGTAGCGGGAAGAAAACTATGTTGACACTTTCAGCAGCGATTAGTACTTGTATGAACAATGGTGATTCAGTTCAAATAAAGAATTTTATGATCAAAAGTATGAAATTACTGAATGAAACAATCGCTAAACTTCTCTCGCAACCAGAACAAGCGGGAGGTCAAATGGAAGATTTTCAAAGTCGTTTCCTCGCTCAGAATCTTCTCCAATCTGTATTGGACGTCAACAAGATCTTTGCAATTGTCAATGAAAACGATCGTGAACGATTTATGAACAACTACGCCATACTACTCAATGGTCCATCTAAAGTCAGAGACAATTATTATGATCAAGTGACCAAATATGCGCATATATGTATTAAAGAACGTTCCAATTAACATTCGTCTTCTATATATTCTTCTTTTTTGTATTCTGTAACAGAAAAACACACGTACGGTAATACATATATGACAATAGTTTTTCCTTTAGAAACGAACGTGTTATATAGAATATTTTCATGCGTGATGTGCAACGAATTGGAAAATTTCTCACAAAACATTAGAAAATTGGTATAACTATGAAACGAGAGGAAAAGTTTCGTTGCCCAATTTTCTTCACTGAACAACGTCATTACCATTCTCGTGTGTCTCTTATCAATCAACTTCAATCTACATTCAAATGCGACAGTTGTGGGAAGAACACTTTCAATTTTGTGCTCAAACTCATGTATAAATAATAACGAATGTTATTTTTCTCGATCAGAACCGAACACATAAGTCATGTCTGTTGAAGAAGAAGAGAAACAACCTGAGGAATGTTTATTTTCATCCTATCGATTCAATGTTCGTCTGGTCCAGTCGAAATTGGTTCTCGGTGCTCAACATCACCGANCAAGCAGCATATGTCGAATCGAGATCACTACGCATACGCGACAATGGTAAATAATCATGAAATGCAACTACTGCTGCTTCGCATCCATTTTCATGTGACAAGGCTTCTTTGATACGTTGAGCAGCTACTTGTACCAATGGTTGATGAACGAATTTGAAAGCTTCTACTAATTCCTCTACTGTTACATCTTTTCCCGACAATGGGGGAGGACCAACGCCGCTTTTCCTTACGATATTAGCCCAAAAGAACTGATCGCCAAAGAAAGGCATAACAATAGTAGGTTTGCCAGCACGAAGACCAGTCGCTGTCGTACCTGCTCCACCATGATGACATACAGCTGATACTACAACAAATACAAGTCTTTTCGATTAATCATAATACTACAATTATACTTACCGTATTGAAAGAGCCAATCGTGTGGAACATCATCGATTTTGAAAATAGTCGCCGGTAATTGGTCTTGATCGATATCAAAGTCAGCAAGTATTGCTCGATATCCGGTCAACATCAATGCATCGAGTATAACATTGAGAAGGCGCTGTGAGTCATAACCAATAATTGAACCAAAACCGATAAATATCGGTGGTGATGTTTGTGTTGTATGAGGATCAGAATGAGAAGTGAGACCAAGAAAAGTAAGTAGATCAGCGGGTGGTGTTGTATAACCTGTCGCAAGATCAAGGAAAAAGAACCCGGGAATACTAACATATTCTGGCCAATCGGGAGGTTTTGGAACCAGGGATGGTGACCAACAATAGATATACGGGACCTTCTCATCGATCATGACCGATGTTGCTTGACGAATATCTAACGATGGAAGTTTAAGAACATCATGACGAAATGTGTTAATCTGATCACCGATGCATAGCCACAACTACAAGTGCAAATCGAACAGAAGTTTTTGAATTGGATTGACTACGCAAAATGAATTAACTCACCAATGTTTCAACGAAACGATAAGAAAACGCATTTAATCGTTCTCGAGATTCCTTTGCATAGTTGACGTTTCCTAATGGATGAGGAAAAGCTGTTGTTGGCGAATAAGGCATTGTAAAAGCCATATGTAGTGGAATTCCAAGTTTTTGCGCACAATGAACATGTCCAAATGAAACTGGATTAGCAATGATGGCTTCAGCACGAAAAGACGCTCCAGTTTCGTCGTCATCATTAATACATGCAGCCCACGTCGAGTGTAATACATCGTGACACATACGACGTCCTTCGAACAGATTGCCAGACATAATCCCGTCTACCGATGGAACAATGCCAGCATTTTTCACCATAAAAGACATCAATTCAGCAGGATTACCAGCTAATGGATAGAATTCCAGACCATGTTCTCGAACGAAACTTCGAAATACTTCATGTGTCGCTAATCGTACACGATGTCCAAAAGCACGAAGAGCTTTACCATAGCTAAAGAAATTTCATAAAAGAAAGAAAAAAGGCATTTGATAAACCTACGCAATAAACGGTTGTACGTCTCCTCTCGAACCAACAATAAGCATAAGAATATTAAGAAGAGGAATTGACTTCGGATTGAGATTCTGTGCATTTTGATCTAAATCAATACTCACATATTCATCAATACTATCGACAGAAACAATACGATCAGTCGAACGTTTGACTGTGAGACAGAGGTGAACTGCGAGACATGCATTTCGTGTACGTATTATCAATGTATGTTCTGAATCGAATGATTTCTCTGGAAGTTCGATTGACATATTCGATGATGTTATTGGTCCAGAGAAGAATCGTACATCATCAAGCCATATCACAGCAAAGATTGATGGTGAAAATAACTCATCAGAATCTTTAGTTTTCGAGTTTTTGAATGTTAGATAAACAGATTGTTCATTGGATATTTTACAATTAAGTTTTCTGCGATACCACCAATCTTTAGCCTTATTTTCGATACTGTTATGTGGTAATTGTACTGGATGCCAGTCTGAGTCATCGATTGAAATAGGAACAGACACATCCGATATATTATCATCATAATTAGCGACAGAACAGTACCCAGACCAATCTTGATCAAGATTAATATTTATTGACATTATCTAAAATACGAAAACGTTTCGAACACAAGTTTTTTCCACTTCTCATGATAAAAAAGATATTTTGTGATATGATCAAGGTATCGGATACAATACGATTTGTTTTTATATTTTGATTATACACGTGGATTGACATATCGATGATTTGTCGACATGAGTATTTTAGTCTCACACAAAAGTATTACGTTATATCTTTTCAATAAAAACTGATAGATGACAGTGTATGTCAACAAAGGATTTTGTGTTTTTCTCCGTATGTTACTGATTGGTTTCGTCAATAGTTTCCGATTGAACGATAAATGGATCAGCTTTATGTCGGAATGATTGATTATCTTCACTCATTAGTGGTACTGCTCCATATTGAACGTTGTATGCTGAACGAAGAGTGTTACTACGATTTGCTGATGAACAATGTAATGTTAAACTAGAAAAAACCACAATACTTCCTGCAGGACATGTCACTTCGACACCTTGATCAGTTCCAAAATATCCAATTAAATCTGGACTTGATTCGTCTTTTCGATGTTGATAACAAGGAAATTTAATATGAGCAGATGGTCGTGGTTTGCCTGACCAATTAATATGATGATCTTTATCTTCGGGTGGATTTCTTTCAATAGGTAAAACAGAAATAGTTCCATTTGTTGATGTCATTTCAGTTAATGCACACCAACAACTTAGATATGGTGTATGTTTATAAGGAACATAACCACTATCTTGATGCCAACTAAATTTTGTTCTTTCGCCAAAATCTCTTTTTTCTCCTTCTCCACGTTTAACAACAATTTCTGAATGAGTATAATATACTTTTTCACCTAATATCGCTACAAATCAATCAAATATACAGAAGATTTTCTTAATAAATATAGTTCTTTATGAAAAACCTTTTGTAATTTGTTCCATATATGAACTGAAGATAATTTTCTTCATTTGTGGTTCATGATCTTCGTGCATGAAGAAGAAATATTTTCCATCTGTTGAACATTGAATGAGTCCATCTTTGTTAACTTCATTCTTTAGATCTTCATCACGTTTTGCAATTGCACGTTGAATAATTTCATTCATCATTTGAAGATGTTCTTGTGAAATAATCGATGGAAGAATAAAATAACTGAAAAAGAGAAAAGTATTTCGTTCACTTTGTGGTATAAAAATGAATATCTCTACCCATGTTCATCGAATTGTTTTAGATGTTCTGAAGTTACCAACATTGAATTCATATTTGACATATTCTTTTCTTGTTTTCGTTAAAATTTGAATATTTAAAATGTATAGATAAACGTATATTGCAAGGTAAAAAAGACAAACAAACAGGTAATCTAAACTTTGTCACCTCTTCATCTTTTCTCGTCATCAATGTTGATATTATGATAATAATATAATTAAAAAGTAAAATTACTTATACGATTTTTCGCCTTGAATATCTCGAGTATTGTATTATAAATAATTTTATTCATCGTATCACTTTGAATCTTTCTTTTCTTAATGAGAAAGATTGGACTTTGACATATCGATATATGATACATTCAATTCATCATTGAAGAAAGATTTCTAAAGTATTTACACGTTTTCGATGAGAGTATTGCAAAAAAGAAGAAACAGTGTGAATTGATCAGTATTTTCAATAAATTTGCATATTACGAAAGGTTAAAAATGAGAAAAAAAGCAATAGTAAACTTAGGTTTCAAACGCCATTCATTTTTAGCCTTCTAAAAATTGATTATCGTTCATTTTCACATTCGATTTATTTGAACGATGTTGTTTCTACTCAAATAAATTCACTGATTGTATCAAAACACAAATCAAATCCAAGAATCATTCTACACTAAAAAATCACAAAACGTTGTATGTTTATCTTAATATATGAAAACTAATTAAATTAGAATTATTGGTTCAATAAAAAAGGCTACTGTATGACATGATAGGAATATAAAGCATTGTTAGGGAGAATAATATAACCAGGTGCAATTAAATTGTATTTTTCAATGTTCGGATTTTTATAGGAATTTGTTCGTATTATAAGCAAATAGTTAATGTCAATAAGACGTATTTTTCAAAGGACTAAAAACGATACAGCACATGAGGCCATACAAGTTCCTTGTAATGCATTACATGCAAGTGCCGCCGCAGGAATTGCTGCACCTAAAACGAGTGTCAAAAATATATAAAATGAAGTTGTAATATTAAAAGAAAGGAAAATAATTTATTCATAAAGCTTTGTATTTTTCTTAATTAAAATCATTTTACTGACCGCCAGTTGCAGCTCCAGCTACAAGACCAGCAGCAGCATAACATGCTACCCATGCAGCATTACAAGCTGTTTGACAAAGACCATAACCACCGCATACCGCAACTGCTGCTCCAAGGAGACCAGCATCAGAGAAACTGACGCAGAAAATCAAATTTAACATGAAAAATGCAAAAATAATCTTTGCAAAATTCATGATTATTTTGATTTATAATATTGAACGATGAAGTATAGGGAAATAAGATGAAATTGTAATCTATAGAAACAGAACTATTCTATTTAAAATCTATATTTATGTTTTAAAGAGAATGAATAGAATTAGTAATTATATTTTATGAAAAAAAAAAGATGAAATTTTTGAATGATTCTAAAGATACATCACTATTTTGGTTCATAAAATTGGATGTGAATCGAGAAAAATGTGTGAAACGTTGAATAGTTCTTTTCACAAAAAAAGATTCTAACTTATCTTTATACGAAAAGAAAAGTTTTCCCGACGGAAAAAAAAACAGAATTTATTTTAGAGTAGAGATTACTCGGAACATTTGCATTTTGTATTGTAAAAACAAAGAGGGTGAGAGAGAAAGAAAGAAAGAGAATGCTGGATAAAAAGAGAAAAAAAGGTTTTTTNATTCTGTTCTTTTTTTAAATGAATATGATCCTTTATTCCGATGTCTTCGTTACCATATAAGAAACGAACACTGTGAAGACTTTTACGAGGTAGAAGACGGTCTCACTCCTTTGTTCGAATTACAAACATCAAATTGAAATATTCCCAACTAAATGGGCTAAAGTTGTCGAAAATAATGGAGAATTTATTGTTGGTTATAATGTTTTATATCTTTATTTAAAAATAAATTTACTTTTGATACAGATTCATGTATTTAACAAATACATGATTTAAAGAATGAGTTCTATTTTGAAAATAGATTCAATTTTTGTGAATTACACAGAGGTTTATAATTTTGATAAATTCTGTACATAAAAGAATACAAAATATCCACGGATATTTCCAAACTAAATCAATTCAGTCAATTCTAGAATTAGTGTATCCCTAATTTTACTTTTACTTTGTCATCTTATGAAAATAAAATAATTTATCGAAATCTTATAAACTTTTGCTTTATTCGTTGATAGTTCAATAACAATATCAATCAAGAATTTCAATATATTTATTATTTCAGATGATGTAGACATCTATTCTCCAAATCATTGAAGACATAAACACACTTCTCACCTTTCAATCTGTGCAAATTCTGTTTGAACTGAAAAGGCGGAAAAAAATTATGTGTACACTTACTTGTTCCGATGTTTTCGTCATTAATAAAATCTTCCGATTGATGAATCATAATTGTACTTAACAGTTCAATGATTGATACGCATGATTTCATGCATATGTGTACATTTCTCTTTCTCCTTCATAAGTCATATCTAGGAAAAAAAGACGGAACAACACATTGTTCCGAAGACAAACTTTTTCCATTATCATTAGTTAAACTAAATTATTTCGCAGTATCAGTTCTTCATATACATATATAATATTACATATTTCGTTTGTGATTTCACGAATATCAGATTGGTGAGTTCCACATAGTTTTGTGTTCTTCAGTGAGATCTTATTTTCAGGAGTATGTATTTCTAATTCTTATATGAATTGCTCAGAGAGAAATCTCTACTACTAATTGATTGTACCTTGTCGGTTATCACGCAGAAAAAATTTTATTATTTCGCGTTTTTTTTTGTATCAAAGACATTTTAGAAGGCATCAAACTAACTTTCCTTTCGGCACTTGGTATTCATTGTATACAACTGATTAGGATGTTTTGAAACATACATTCATATTCGAAGTAATCTTCAAAAAGTTTTGATCTAAATCGTGTCTCCAATTGTTTTTTGCGTATGACAATTTCTTTTTATTACGAGAATTGCGTATTATGTAAATATGTAATATTAGACTAAGACAACGATTTATGCAATGCTTCACTCTCCAACTTATCTGAATAGTCATAGAGTCGTTTGACGAATAAAAATGTTAGGAACATGTTCTCAATTACCCTAAGACAGCTGTAAAGAATCTCATCGATTAAAAGCTAAATCGGTTGTACTTGAAGTTTATTGATGAACACTTGAACTAAATTTCCGTCTTGTATTACTTCAATCACTGGTCTGATATGAAATAAACACCTTACATGTAAAGAAAACATCATCTGGCATCATAATACTTTCAACCTTTTTTAATCTCTGTTTCGATTCAGAATTAGAGACAATATCGTTGTCTAACTCTATTATAGAAACTAACACAGAAAAGTCCATCAACATACACTGATTTGATCTAATTTATTTGTAACGAATGTTCACTAAGATTTGTTATTGACCAAAGTTATAAGGTATCTATAGAAGATTCCATTGAAACTAAGAGCATGCCAAAAAACATGACCAATCTTCCATACTTTTGATGCACTTACTACAAATGGAGATTCAAAAGTCCATTCATTTTTTCATCTACAAGTCTAATTCAAAATGAATGAGAATAGTTAAACGATCATTGGCGTTGCTTCATTGATGACATGTCACAGTTGTGAAAAGTCACCTAGTAACGCTAGGAATAACGAAAACTGTATATTGTTAGGTGTTGTAAGATGATTGACTAACTTAAATGTTGGCCTATTAGAATAGTTTAAAGTTTTCCAATAAGATATTAAGCCTATAGTCATATGAACATATCTTCTAAATTGCACCCAACATAGGTACGTCGACGTAGCCCAAAAGCAGATTCATCAAGTAAAATTCTTGCAGAATCTTCATTACTATCCAAAAACCACGAAAATGAGCCAAAGAGTTATACCAATTTTTACAGATACTTAACAAGAAAAACACTTAGAACCATTATGAGCCTTGCTGATTTATACTCCCTTTTTTTTTTACTAAACATATCATTTATGATAAGATGTTAGAAGAGGAATAGAAGAAAAACCTTTGTCATGCTATTTTAGTTACATATGAGTTAAAAGATGATTATATCCATGCAAAAGTTGACTCACAACGGACATTCTTCTGTCTTAAGATAATATTGTCAAGAAGACAAAATCATGCCACATACAAAGGCGGGAAACGAATCTAAGAATTGTAGACTTGNCCGGTTCGGGATAATAAAAGAAAAAATCTATTTATATGTTCAGTTTATAGACTTAAGTATCTTCTGAAGAACAGGCAGGGGGATATGTACATTGCGGCTCTACGACATCGTTCATCGATGAAATTTTCAATGCTAGCAGACTTTGTAATTATAAGTATTTTAGTAGAAAGATTTTTTTTTAATAGAACTAGATCCAAAATTTTATGGAATGAAAAGACGAAATTCTAAAAACTAAGACTTTGTACGCAATAGTCATCAACTGTGTAATGGGTACCTATTGATATAGATATTTCATATTTTTATGTCATGAAAACATTTGCCATTCATAGTTTCGCTTCCCACAAACGGTCTATCGAAGTTATTCTTGTAATATACTTTTCTTTATCGATAGTATCGCGTTCGATATCCTTGCTATCAGTTTCAACGTTATATCTATTTCTTTCATTTTAGCTGTACAAATTATTTTATTGGAAACCTCAAGTGTTCATGTATTATTCACACAGTCACATACCTAATGTAAAAGTTCGCTCCGGCGCTTCTTGGAGAGTTCGGATTAATATTAGATATTTAAGAAGGCATATAAGACTAATAAGTTTACTTCTCATAACTGGGGCTCTTTTGTTTTCGATCTGCTCAAAAACTGGCATAAAACCGATGCGACCTGACAACGAGTTATCAAATACCGAAAAGAACATACCGAACAAACTACTTAGCCGAAGCCTACCGAATATGAAAAAGAGGAATTGGCGCACTGTGAAAGTGCTGGAGTTATCGACAAAGGACATCTTTCTATATAAACACACTGTCGTTCGAAATGCTTCTTTCTCGAAAAACTATACTTTAGT